GAAAACAGAAAGAAGACGGGGAGCAGCGGCTGGAGCAGCTCCCACCCAGGCAGGGCAGGGCAGGGCCACCAAGACGCTCATTGAACCATTGGTGTGCAGTGCACCGTCAATGAGCCGTTGGCATGCAGCACAGCAGAGGCTCACAGGCGGCTCCACACTCACCCGCTCCTGTTTCTCCTTCTCCTTCTCCAGGTGGTACAGCTGCCACTGCTCCATCACGTACTCCATGAACTGCTGCCCCTTCACCAGGAAGGGCCCCTCCTGCTCCTGCTCCCAGGCCTGGACCCTGCTCTGCAGCTCCTCCTGCAGCTGATGAGGACACAAAGGCAATGTAGAGAGGCTACCCACCCAAATGGGGAGATCTCTGTGCCCAGGGACACACTGTTGGCCCCGTGTGCTGCTCTCAGCACTATGCAAGCCTATCTACAGCTTCTTCTCCAGGGCTGAACCTACCTTGGAAAGCGTCTTCTGGAGCTTTGCTCGCTGCTTCTCTTCTTTCAGCAGGTTCCCCCCGCGGTTGGCAAAGCGCCCAGGGTCAGTTGCTTTCCTCTGGTACAGAGAAGAGGTCAAGAGAGAGCCCAACACACCCTCAGGACACCGGCCCCAGAGGAACCATCCCTGCTGCAGAGCCCCCAGCACAAACCACAGCACTCCAACAGCGCCCCATTCCCTCACCAACCCGCAGGGGTTCCTGGTGCCTCCCTGGTTATTCCCAACAGCACTTTGCACACAGGAGCAGAGGAGCAGAGGTGTGCACTGCTGGTGACCTAGCACCAGGCCTGGTAGAGCACGTTCCTGCCCGGACAATACCTCCAACTCCAGGAACAGTTTCCAGTTCTCCTCCCATTTCTGGACAGCTCCAAACAGATCTTTGTGTGCTTCATAGTAGTTCTTCATCTTCTCCACCTCAGCATCGTGGAGCTCAAGCAGGGTCTCTGTATAGTCCTCTGGAGGGGATACAACAGCACGTCCACGAGGGAGCCAGGATCCCCACTGCGAGCAGAGCGCAGCAGCCCTCAGGCCAGTGGATATCCTACAGGAGAGTCAGTGAGCAGGAAGAGCCAGCACCCACCATCATAATAGGCGCTGAAGCCTTCCCTCTGCTCCTGAGTGTAGAAGCATTTGTCCCAGTAGACAGCCAGCTCTGCCCGGATCGCCTGAACCACGGATTTCATGTTCTGCAGCTTCATCTCCTCCAGCTGGTCCACTTCCAACTGCAGCTGCCAACAAGAGCAGAGCACAGGCTCAGAGAAGGCAGCATAAGTAAAGGAGCAGAACAGGATTTATCTTCTGCATAAACCGCTTTCTAAGACAAGGCAGTTGCCAGCACCAACTCCCAGCTCCCCCACCCATGGGGGCAGGATTTGCCCCGTTTGCCTCGCACCCAACTGCTGGAAGAAGTTCCTCCATTCAGGAGTGTGAGACACAGAGCTGCTGCCCCCAGCCCTCCCGCTCTGAGGTACAGGGTGGTCCTTACAGCTTTTACGGTTTTGGCCCTGGACCCAGCCACATGCACTGCTGAGGATGCTCTCTCCTCCGCGGGGATCTGCAGCCGCTCCCAGAGCGCGAGGATCCTGGAGCGCAGGTCCGCGCACACGGCTTCGTTCAGGGACCGCCGGGCTTCCAGCTGCAGGGGGAGAGCTGCGGGTCAGCGCGGTGCCATGGACACGAGCGGCCGCTGGCTCACTGCCCGGGAGCTCCTCAGAACTCTCCCCTGACACTTGGGCTCACTGAGCGATGCCCGTCGACAGCCCCCGCTGCGAGTGGCGCTGCCTCAGCCAGCCACGTACCTGCTGCAGCAGATGCTGGAGGGCAGCGATGTTGTCCTCAGACTGCCAGAGAGTGTCCTCATCCTCACACACCACCTCCTGCTCAAAGCTCGTGTCCGGAGTGTGGTCCAGCTCCTCCATGAGGAGGATGATTTGCCGCTTCCTGTTGACAAACTCCTCTCGCCGTTTCTCCTGGAGATGAGGAGTAGTGTCAGGAACCATTGAGCACCTTGTGTGCCCCTCGGCGAGGCCCCGTCCCCATCCCTGTTACCTTCTCCGTGGTCAGGGAGGCCAAGTAGCGCCTGTAGCGATCCAGGTCCTCCAGGCTGGGCACAGCATTGCTGTCAATACTGAATGGGGTTGTGCAGAGGATGCTGCACAGGTCTTGATCCTGTTCTTGCATGGTTTTGAGCTCCTGTTTCCTGTCCCTTTTCTGCTTTAACATCACTTCCACGCGGGTGCGCAGGTTCTTCTCCATCTGCAGGATGGTACTTTCTTCCTCTACCTGCAAAA